CTGAAGTCGCCATAGCCAATTGAGAGTGAACTCGTATCTGAAAGCCATATCTCTGAGTTTTGAGTGGGCGCATGTCGCCAGTATGCTGCATTGCTGTTTACATGCATGAAAAGTGTGTTTGAAAACGAGTCTGATTGCAGATTGATTGAAAGAAAAAAAAGAATCTTGTTAATGGATTCAGGCCCGTGACTAATTAGATGATGAGGCATTGACTAGCTCCAGACTGTCATTGTTACTCCCGCCGTTTACCCCCAAAACATGAGGGGCGGTGTTTTGCCCATTGGTATAAAGACGACGAGGACGAGGCTGAGGTGGAGGAGGAGGAGAAAGGAAGAGGCGATGGAGGACGAAGAAAAGGAGGCGGCGGCGATGGAGGAGGAAGAAGATGAGGAGGTGGAAGAGGAGGAGGAGAGGAAGAGGAGGGGGAGGCGAAGGACAAGGAGGAGGAAGAGGAGAAGGCAATGGAGGGAGAAGAGGAGCACGAGGAAGAGGAAGAGGAGGAGGACAAGGAGGAGGAAGAGGCGAAGGACAAGGAGGAAGAGGAGGAAGAGGAGGAAGAGGAGGAAGAGGCGAAGGACAAGGAGGAGGAAGAGGAGCACGAGGAAGAGGAAGAGGAAGAGAAAGAGGCGATGGAGGAGGAAGAGGAGGAGGAGGAGACGAGGAGGAGGAGGAGGAGGAGGAGGAGGAGGAGAAAGAGTGAGGTGGAAGACAAGGAGGAGGAGGAGGAGGAGGAGGAGGAGGAGTGAGGTGGAAGACGAGGAGGAGGAGGAGGAGGTCAAAGACGAGGAGGAGGAGGAGGGAAGGAGGAGGAGGAAGAGTAGGAAGAGGAGGCTCACCTTAGTATCACGTAGAGGAGCAGCTCCTAGCAATGGCTCCAGCAGAGGCGGCTATGCCTGGAGCAATGGAACAGCACGGCAGCCGGGCAGCGAGGCAGCGATGCAGCGAGCAGCGGGGCAGCGAGGCAGCGATGCAGCGAGCAGCGGGGCAGCGAGGCAGCGATGCAGCGAGCAGCGGGGCAGCGAGGAGGAAGAGGAGGAGGAGGAGGAGGAGGAGGAGGAGGAGGAAGAGGAGGAGGAAGCCAAGGAGGAAGAGGAGGAGGAGGAGGAGGAGGAGGAGGAGGCTCACCTTAGTGACGGGTAGAGGAGCAGCTCCCGGCGATGGCTCCAGTGGAGGCGGCTATGCCTGGAGCAGTGGAACAGTGGGGCCGTGGGGCAGCGGGGCAGCGGGGCAGCAAGTGCCGAGCAGCGGGGCAGCGAGGAGGAAGAGGAGGAGGAGGAAGAGGAGGAGGAGGAGGAGGAGGAGGAAG